TTTCTCACAAGACAAGAACTCCTTGTGGACACTCCATGAAATCTACAACAGCCAATGTAAAGAGTCCTGCATGGAGTCGACACCACCCTTCATCTTGTCCACAGGTTCCAACCCACATTCGACTCCTGTGGTGCCCTGACCAGCCAGCAGAATGGGCAGTCAGCCCCCAGGATTTTCTGCCCCAGAGCAGTCTGGTTTTTGTTCTCCATGCAGTCCCTCCCTGTGGATATGATCAGAGGAGGAAACGTGTGCTCTGGCAGGGCCCGGGTCCACCACATCTTGAGCATGGGCACCAACAGTGCACACTTGCAGTGTCACTCCTTCGCATTTTATATGGACTGGGTTGCATGGAGGAAATAAGTGGCCAGTTTCACCCCAGTGTAAATCCAATCAAGTCCCTGGCCCGATCTCGTCAGAGCTCCGGAGCTACGCAGGGTCAACCCGGGTTAGTACTTGGAGGGGAGGCCACCATGGAAGTATAGGGTTGCTACGCAGAGGCAGGCCATGGCAAACCCACCTCTGTCCGTCTCTTGCCTTGACCTGGACGGCCCAGCCTGGCCCGATCTCATTAGATCTTGAAAGCTAAGCAGGGTCAGCCCTGGTTAGTACGTGGAGGGGAGGCCACCCGGGAAGCCCAGGGTTGCTACGCAGAGGCAGGCAAGGGCAAAACCACCTCTGTCTCTTGCCTTGACCTCAATGGCCCAGGCTGTCCTGATCTCATCAGACCTCAGAAGCTAAGCAGGGTCGGCCCCGGTTAGTCCTTGGGTGGGAGACCACCGAGGAAGCCCAGGGTGGCTATGCAGAGGCAGGCAAATGGCAAACCGCCTCTGTTTGTCTCTTCCCCTGACCTGGATGGCCCAGGCTGGCCCGATCTCGTCAGAGCTCCCAAGCTAAGCAGGGTCGGCCCTGGTGAGTGAAATGGGAGGCCACCGAGGAATTCCAGGGTCTCCGTGCAGAGGCAGGCCGTGGCAAGTCCACCTCTGAACTCTTGCCTTGATAACCTTATGGGGTCCACCATAAGTTAGCCGCGACTTGACAGGGCTTTGCACGCGCACAGAAACCCGGTAAAATGACTTTTCTTGTTTTCTAAGACCAGACCAGAAACATGTGGGTTTTCCATAGGATTGAGCGGATCGTGGTTAAGGCTTGCACACCGCATGTGTCCTTTTATGTAAATTTAATTCCCTAATAGAGCAGGTGTTCCCCATCTAGTAGAGTCCCAGCAATAGCCCCGAGAATACAACCTCACTCGCTTCCAAACGATGGCTTGTTTCCACGAGAGGTTTTCAGCTTATCAGTGGCATTCTGTGATTTTTTGTTGTTGTAAGAAGCACAATCATGGCCATGCAGGTTTATTCTCTCACACAAACACAACGTGAAGGCTGAGAATCGAATACATAACTGGTGATACTCGTAGTCCACTCTGCATAGTTAGGTGACCGCTTTTCCATTTGACAAAACACACGCAAACACAAAAGGCAGGAGTGAGTTGTGGGAGGCAGGCTGAAAACTACCGAATTCTGTTCATCAAAGTTCTGCATCTCGTGTGTTTGGGGAAGAGCCAATAGCTGCCTCCCAGTGCATGCAAAAGGTCCCCCATTCAGTCCCTGGCATCACCTTTGCCTCAAGGTCGGCCCAGCCAGAGAGAGAGAGAGAGACGCGCTGGTCTCGGTGGACTGACTCGGTCTAAGGTGAGCCTCCTCCCTGCTCGCCAAGAAGGCTTGTTAAAGGCAAATGTTACATAAGATTTTCAGTAAGGTTACAGTAAGGTATGTTCAGCCTGGGAAAGAGAAGGCTCAGAGGGGCCATGATTGCAGTCTTCAGGTATCTGAAGGGCTGCCGTGTAGAAGATGGAGCAGATCCACTCTCTCTTGCTCCGGATTGCAAGACTAGATCTAATGGGTGGGAATTACAAGGGAGTCGTTACCGGCTAAATATCAGGAGAAACTTCCTAACTGTCAGAGTGGTTGAGCAGTGGAGCAGTCTGCCTCGGGAGGTGGTGGAGGCTCCTTCGCTGGACATTTCCAAGCAGAGGCTGAACGACCATCTTCAGGTATGTTGAAGGTATGTAGGGCTGTCTTTCGGCTGTGCTCCGGCAGAGGGCAGGGGGTTGGACTAGATGACCTGCGAGGTCCCTTCCAACTCCAACATTCTCTGATTCTAAGAGTAAACTTTCCCCTTTTATTGTGACACGGGGAAATTTTAAAAACGGTCGTTGGCCGAAAATTACAAATACATCTCTGCAATTGATTTTCTTTTTTTAAAAGGCGGCAGATGTCAGCCTGCAAAATGCCCCTCATTTCAAAGGGGGGGGGGGAAGGAAGTTTAAAGGGAGCTCTTCCTGGGCCCTGCTTAGTTTAATGTTGGGAAATGCCAGAATTGCTAAATTTGTGACAATATTTGGCCCTGTGAGTGGCCGTGAGAATGGATGCCGGATAAAGAGTCACCTGCGGGGCTCGGCAAGAGAGACGGTTTTGACTCTAGATCGGCAACAGCACAACATGATGAGACAAGAAGTTAGTGAAGGAAGCCGGCCACGCCCGACACACGCCAACAGAGGGAAAGCACAGGTATGAAGCACTCCGATCCGGAAAGTAGGTGTGCACCGCGTAGTCAATTATTTGATTTTTGAACCGTTTGAAATGTGCCCCAGATTAACAGGGTAGCAGATTTACTACCAAATTGTTTTATTTGCCTGTGCTACTCTTGGAAGTCCAGGACTGACAGGTATTTGTCTCCGAGGCAAGGCCTCTTCTCGGGCGGGGTCTCTCTGGCGATGCTTGCACAGATCCCCTGAAAATACATTTTATTTCTTCAGAACTGTAGATGCCAATTCAATCGATCGATTCAGACTTGTACAAGTAATTGACTACGGTTTCAAGTGATCAGACCATTCGTGAACTCATCCTAGGAGTGGAAGTGGGCTACAGTCAGGCGATCTGTTTTTCTTTCAGGGCACATAAAGATGACTGGACGAGTGGGAGAAATCTCTTAGTTTCAAAGGCAAATGTGTTCCACAACAGCCCGTGCTCTAAATAGCCGGATCTAGCCCCACATTCTGAACCTCAGACGTTCAAATTGTTGCTCAGAGTGCGTGCCACAGTGCTTAGTTCGGATGAGACTAATTATTATGCCGTCGAAGGCTTTCACGGCCGGAGTTCATTAGCTGTTGCAGATTTCCCGGGATGTGTGGCCGTGGTCTTGGCATTGTAGGACCTGACGTTTCGCCAGTAGCTGTGACTGGCATCCTCAGAGGTATAACACAGAAAGAGGGAGCACTCTCTGTGTCGAGGTGAGAAGAAAAATGGTAGGCAGGTAATTTATATCTACTCAGGAAGGGGGGGGGTAGGGCTGAGTCATTATCTTGTAGGAGTTCCCCAGGCTGTGACAAGCTAATGGAGGAACTTTCCGGAGGAGGTTCTACCCCACCCTCCTGAGTAGATATAAATTACCTGCCTACCATTTTTCTTCTCACCTCGACATAGGGCTGCCAAGTGGGGGCGGGTGGCGAGTAAACCCCCGCTTTGGAGGCCCGATTTCTGCCGCCGCGGAATCAGGCCCCGGGGGGAACTCTGCCCCCCGAAGCGCACCATAGGTGACGCAACCACGTCTATCACGTTGGGGGGGTGGCCCCGATCGTCGGAGGGAAAACTCTATGGTTTCCCCTCTGACGATCTGGGCCCCGCCCTCCAGTGATCGACGTCGCGCGTCACTTCCGGTGATGTGCTGGTGGCGTGCACACGTGCGCGCATGACAAGGGACAGCTCTTGGAGTGTGGCAAGGCTCCCCCACCGGTGAGTAAAATTCACTTGGCAACCCTACCTCGACACAGAGAGTACTCCCTCTTTCTGTGTTATACCTCTGAGGATGCCGGTCACAGCTGCTGGTGAAACGTCAGGTCCTACCATGCCAAGACCACACCCAGACAACCCGGAAAATCTACAACAGCTAAAGACTAATTATTGCTGTTAATTACTCTGAAATCAACTGCAGTAGTGGGGGGGAGAATTTGGTGGTCGCCAAGAAAAGTTTTACAGACTGGATGATTGTGTTTAAAGAGGGACGGGAGAAGTGCGGACAGGCAGAGTAGTCACAAGGTGAGCGTCGCAGCCGTGCCGGCTAAGGGAGCTCCGGCCATTGAAAAACGGAGCGGTTATACATGTTGTGGAGCCGCACTGAGAACCGTGACGAGAGGACTACTCACTTTGGGCTGGATCGGTGGGCGCGAGAATCACGGATCTTTCCCGCTGACGGCAGAGGGGAGTACGGTGATTCCCCCCCCCTTTCCCTCCACATTGCAGCTCCACCCTGTCCGGTGCGGCTGTGGTCCCACGACCCCGGGTTGCCAACTTTCCCAAGGCCGGGTGGAACCGCTGCATGGAGGGGAGCACGGGAAAGATCTGCAACTGTCAGCACCCTGTGCTGATAGATCACGTGATCCAACCTTTTTCTTTTGGGAAGGGAGGGTTGCTAAGGTGAAGGAAGCAGACATTCTTTGGAACCCTGCCATTTATTGCGAGAGGCTGTACCCCAAAATCTAGAGGTCAAAGAGCCGTGGCTTCCATTTGCCCTTGCCGTGACCTTGAAATGACCTATCCCTTGACCCTTGAGACATCGCTGGGCTTCGGGGAGGTGGGAGGGGGACGTGTGCTGTCCGGTCAGGGGCCTGCAGCTGTGTCCAGTCTCTGTCCACAATTTTCTTCCGACCCCATACATTAATTACCCAAATCTGTTCCATCTCCAGGAAGCCAGTGGGTGGTTCGCTTGGCCAGTCTTCTCTTCCCTCTTCTAAACAAACCCTGGCCTTGAGGAAGCAGAAATGCCAAAGGAGGCAAGTCTGAGATGGGGAGTTCATCCCTTTACCCGCTGGCTGAAGATGGAGCAGGGCGCGGCTGGTGGGTCTTTCAACGGAGCGACTTCTGTCTCTGCAGACGCAAACTCCAGTGCAGAAGCTCAGACCCCAAGTGAGCCACTCTGCAGACGCAAACTCCAGTGCAGAAGCCCGAGTGTGGTTCTCCGAGAGGGGCAGAGCCTCCCGCTACCTGCTCCTGCCGCTCAGACCCCAAGCGAGCCGTCAGTGAGGCTTGGCTCCTGTCCTGGGGTGGAATCGTCAAGCGTTCTTCTCCATCCCACGTTTCCACGTCTCCCGCCTCACTTTGGCTGATTCCGCTGCGACCTCCTGTCCCGAGAGCTTTGAGCCACATCAGTTGCCATCTTAAAAAGCTGCCGTGGTGGGTGACTGTTTAGTTAAAAGCGTGCGAGGTATCAAAGGTGAAGCATTTAATGTTCAGTGGTGGCGGCGGCGACGGCGAGGCCTGGCTTTGGCACAGGCTTGGAGGCGCCTCTAGCGAGCCAGTTTGCATTTTAGGGAGCCGTCTGGCTTCTCTTGTAATTCCCGGCCTAGGATCACCGCTTGGTTTTGGGGGGAGGGTCTTCTGCTTAGAGGGGCACGGCTGTGGCGCCGGGGGCCTCTTGTCGCTGTGGTTCTGTCCCTCGTTCCCAGCCGCCTATTCCGAGTTGTAGAAGTTGTGTTGGCTGTGGTTGTACTGGCCCTCCTCGTCTCCGATGACGGCGTAGTTGGGCGTGAGGCAGTACTTGGAGTCGTAGACCTGGCGAGGCAGCCCGTAGACAGTCATGCCCTGCTGCGAGGCCCCTTTGTTGCTCCCCATCTGCAGAGAGACGTTCTGGGAGTCGCAGTGCTCCATGCCCAGCGAAGGCTCAAAGATCTGCCGCTTGGTTCCGGGAGCGGTCATGCCAGCCTGAAAGAAGAGAAGAGAAGAGATTGGATTTCTACCCCGCTGCCCTTCACTCCCCAAAGGTGTCTCAGAGCGGCTGACAAACTCCTTCCCCTTCCCCTCCCTGCAACAGACAGACACCCTGTGGGGTAGGTGGGGCTGAGAGAGCTCTTTTGAGGACTGCTCTTGACAGAACGGCTCTGAGAGAACTACGGCTTGCCCAAGGTCATCCAGCCAGGTGCAAGTGGAGGAGGAGTGGGGGAATCAAACCCGGTTCTCCCAGATTAGAGTCCGCACACTTAACCACGACACCGAACTGTCCGTCATGAATACCAGAAGCTGCCTTATGAAATCAGACCATCGGCCAACAAGGTCGGCAGCTCTCCAGGGTCTCTAGTAGAGGTTTTCCACATCACCTCATCTTTTTAACTGGAGATGCCGAGGATTGCACCTGCGTGCCAAGCAGAGGCTCTGCCGCTGAGCCAGGGCCCCTCCCCAATTAAACAGCGTTCTGCGTCAGAGCTTTGGTCCACCAAGGTCAGTATTGTCTACTCAAACTGGCACTGACTCTTCATGGTCTTTCACATCACCTGCTGCCCAGTCCCAGTCCTTTCGGCTCGAGAGGCCTGGGGTTGAACCTGGGACCTCCTGCGTGCCAAGCAGAGGCTCTGCCACTGAGCCACGGCCCTCCCCTGTGTCTTATTAGCATGATCAAAAAATTAAACTATGCTTTCAGATCTGTCTTTCTGCATCTAAAGCAGTGACCAGAACTGTACACAGAATCCCAAATGAGGTCGCACCGTAGATTTATACAGGGGCCTTTTGATACTGGCTGATTTGTTTTCAGTCCCCTTCCTAACAATCCCCAGCATAGCTTTGGCCTTTTTTTATTGCAGTCGCACCCTGAGTCAACATCTTCATTGAGTTATCTACCACGCCTCCCAGATCTCACTCCTGGTCAGTTACTGCCAGTTTGTACCCCATTAACCTGTATTTATAGTTGGGATTTTTTTGGCTCCAATGTGCATCACTTTGCACTTGCCCATGTCGAACCTCATTTGCCGCACTGATGCCCACTCGCCCAGCCTCCACAGATCCCTCTAGAGCACCTCAGAGTCCTCCCTGGTTCTCACTGCCATGAACAACTTAGTGTCACCTGCAAACTTAGCCACCTGGCTGTTTATTCCCAACTCCAAATCATTAATGAACAAGTTAAAAAGCACCGGACCGAGTACCAAGCCCTGCGGTACCCCACAGCTTACCACCTTCCACTGTGAAAACTGCCCATTTAGACGCACGCTCTGTTTCCTGTTTATTAACCAGTTTTTAATCCACAAGAGGACTGGTCCTCTTATTGCATGACTGCTGAGTTTACTTAGGAGCCTTTGACAAGGAACTTGATCAAAAGACTTTATGGGAGTCTAGGTAAACAGCATCTATTGGGTCCCCCTTGACCACATGCTTGTTCACCCCCTCCAAGAACCCACAAAGGTTAGTGAGACAAGCTCTTCCCTTACAGAACCCAGGCTGAGTCTGCCTCAATAACTTCTGTTCATCAGTGTGCCTGCTTGAACTCACTCCAGCCTGAGGTGGGCCTGGGTGTTTCAGAGACTATTCTGGTGACTCGCAGGGCTTTTTTTGTAGAAAAGCCCAGCAGGAACTCATTAGCATATTAGGCCACACCCTTGACAGCACAGCTCATTAGCATATGAGGCCACACCTGTGTTACCAGAAGTGTACTCATGCAGCCACACCCACCTTTTGCTTCTTATTCTGTTTACCTTGTTTGTTGTCAACACCCAGGGCCTTTTTTGGTAGCAGGAGCTCCTTTGCATGTTAGGCCACACACCCCTAATGTAGCCAATCCTAATGAGTTTCTGCTGTTGGGTGTGGCCTATTATGCTAATGAGTTCCTGCTGGGCGTGGCCAACTCGGGAGCCAGCCGGAACTCTGTTCCTGTGCGTTCCTGCCCAAAAATAGCCCTGCTGGTGAGTAGTTCAGAATAAGGCAACAAGGGAAACATGGTGGAAAGTGCTGATTTCTCCATGCCTACTACCTCTCTGCATATCCAATCACACTTGCTATTGTCTTTTGCCTGCTAATGTCATTTCGCATCTGAAATCACTCCACTTTCCAAAATAGAGGACAGATGGACTCCCATTCTAGCGGTATATGAAGAAGTGAGCCCTGCCACAATTGTTTGTTAGTCTTTAAGGTGCTTCTGGACTCTTACTCTTTTCTACAGCAATATACAAACAGTGTGTGTGTGTCAAAGGTGTTATGTACACGGACTGCCACCAGGGGTCCGCAGCTACAGTCAAGAGCTTAGCTCCGCTAGACAATAGGAACCCAGGATCTTAGTTCCCCCAGCATGCACCAATAGAAACTTTGGTGGGAAATTCAAACCCTCCAATGGGACTGTGGGTGTACTGGGTGGGTATGTATATAGTTGGCCTTGCAGGGCCGTTTTCCAGCTCCAGCGTTAAGTACAATAAACGTGTGCAAGAGCATGTCGTTGTCAGAGTCCTCCATGCGGCGAACCCAGTACTTTTCAAAAGGCGTGGAAGTTATGTTGGTGCGCAGGCGTCTAATGTTGCTTTTGTCAGGAAAGGAGCTGAATGGGACAAACCGTCGTATTCCCCAGAATCATCCCAGAAGTTTGTAACGAAGGCCAGAGAGGGAACTGAGCCAGCCAGCATGTGTGGCATCTGAATGGGATACCTCCGGCCTCTCTCCCTAGGGGATTTCATTTGGCCTTTTAATCACGATGGCGTTAAATGTTTGGAACATCAGCCAGTCTCTGGAGAGGCGGGGTCATTTCCTGAGGGAGCGCACAGGAACGGAGCTCCAGCAGGAAGGAGCCCAGGGGGCGGGCACATGCAATAAGCCCAGCCCCCTGCTCCCAGCAACCCTCAGTCGGGCCACGAGGAGCAAGAAGCAGCCAGGTAAGTTGCAGAGGCCCCCTCCCACGGCCTGTCTTCAGGTACAAGCTCTCCCTCCTCTGGGAGGGCAGATCTGCGGGTTCCCGCCCCATAGCTAGCAATCCAAAACAGTCCAGTGGCACCTTTAAGACCAAGTCTTATTCAGGTACAAGCTCTCCCTTCTCTGTGAGGACAGATCTGCACATTCCGCCGCCCCCCCCATAGCTAGCAATCCAAAACAGTCCAGTGGCACCTTTAAGACCAGGTTTTATTCAGGTACAAGCTCTCCCTCCTCTGCGAGGACAGATCTGCACGTCCCCCCCCCCCGATAGCTAGCAATCCAAAAAAGTCCAGTGGAGCCTAAGCGGGGGGTCTTGCACAGCCCCCCCCCCCCGATAGCTAGCAAGCCAAAAGAGTCCAGTGGAGCCTAAGCGGTGGGTGTTGCCTCCTGACACACTTCCGGTGGTGTCAGGGGGTGTGGCATATGCAAATGAGTCATGCTAAGGAGTTAGCATTCTACGAAATGACCCCTGGCTCAGGTGGCACACAGGTTTTCAAAACGAATGCACACACGCACGCACACCTCTCTTTCCCCCCCTCCTTCCCTTCCCGATTTCTTACCTGGCTGGCCCCTTTGTTGGTGCCCATTTGTAGACTAATTGTGGCTTGATCCAGGGGCTGATCTGTGCCCAACTTGGGGTCGTACAGGTGCCGACGTGTGCCGTACGCAGTCATGCCTTGCTGGCTGGCAAACTTGTTGGTACCCATCTGAGAAGGACAAAGCATTGCTTAGATGGGCGGTTCCATCTTTGCCAAAAAGAAAAATTATTGGAAACGCTCACGGTCCCTGCCCACGTCCCAGCAGTGGAAGGCCCCCCCGCTGTCGTCTGCTTGCCCAAGGGCATCAACAATTCTCATCAATAGATTCATGGAGGATAAGTCGGTCAGTGGCCACTAGTCCTGGTGACTGAGGGGAACCTCCGCATTCAGGTGCCGCTGATTACCTCTGTGTCATCATTTTGTCTCTGCTGCATCGTATTTCCCCACCACCACCTTTCCCATAAATTCCAGGGGGCGGACTACCACAGGGCTGATTCTCTTCTAATGGTACCTGGGCACTCCATTGGAGCTCTTGAGCATCGCGAATTGGGACTAAGCAGGTAAATATTGCACCATTTAGGCTCCCCCCCCCGTTGGCTACCTACCTTTTTCCTAAAATTTAGGAAACTTTTCAATTTGCAGTTGTTTAGTCATATGTGTTATGTGTACTTTGAGATCCGTGAACATATGAAATGTCGTACATCCTGATGAACTGCCCATGTTGCATCTCGAGAATATTTATCACCACTTACTCCACGGGTGAACATCTCAGGGTGGGTAAGGTAGTTATCCATACATTCCAAAATATTTACATTTAATTTTTTGTTGTTGCTTAACAGACATACAGGTGATTATTTTTCTCCCTTTCCTGCCTCCTTTCTTTTTAGGTCCATTCTGTGTATGAGGAGTTTTATGTATATTTTTGTTAAATTTATAGAGTGCTCAGTTTGAATTTTACCACCGAGGAAGGCTTTTAGCCGAAACACGTTTGCTATTGGCACTTGTATATGGATATAATTTGTACCTTTTAACCTGTATTTATATGATTGGACATTTGTCTTTATATTAGGATTAGGTACTTATAGGCAGAACCACAAGATTGTGGTTTTTAAATGTTATTTTAGCAATTTTGAACGTATAATTAAATTTTCTGAGCCTCTCGCTTTTTTTAGGCCACATTCTGCTCTGCTGCTGGCTGTGTCTAATGGCCTTTCTTGTAACTGCTCTTGGGTTCCTTTGCTGTTCAGACACGTTCCTGGATATACCATGAAGGAACTCCAGTGGCTGAGCCCTCCATAATAATTCCAATGGCTAAACCCTCCATAATAATTCACACTTCACGGCAGTGTCACAAAAACACGTGTGTGCTTTTCAGAGGACTGTGCCTCTTGGGATTTCTCATTTCTGTTGTCACAAAGCCTTTGCTAAGTCCCACCCCAGGGATGGACAGGAGGGGCTTCCCGAGTCTGTCTGAACCAATCAGCAGACATAAGAACATAAGAGAAGCCAATGCTGGATCAGGCCAAAGGCCCACCCAGTCCAACACTCTGTTGTCACACAGTGGCCAAAAATACCAGGGGCCCTCAGGAGGTCCACTAGTGGGGCCAGGACACTAGAAGCCTTCCCGCTGTTGCCCCCCCCCCAAGCACCAAGAATACAGAACATCCCTTGCCCCAGACTGAGAGTTCCTCTCTATCCCTTGTGACTAAGAGCCACCGATGGACCTCTGCTCCATATGTTTATATAATTCCCTCTTGAAGCAGTCCAGGCTTGTAGCTGCCGCCACCACCTCCTGTGGCAGTGAGTTCCATGTGTCAATCACTCTCTGGGTGAAGAAAGTCATGTATGAGACTGTGCCTCATACATAACGTTAACTGCACCGGTGCACCAGGGGTCCCAGACTTTTTCTGAGCCTCTGGTCTCCTTTGGAGTTCTAGCACAGCGTGGTGGGCATAGTCACAAAATGGCTGCCGCACGGTCCCACCGCGAAGACCCTCGTGCCGAGGAGGTAGCAGCTGCCAAAGTAACATTTTTTAAAAAACCTGCACGGCCAACCAGATCTCCCGCGGCCAATCAGAAGCCTCGGTGGGCAAAAGCCGTGCTTGGGCCCGCCCACGTTCTAAAAACACTTGGCGGGCGCCAGGAGAGGAGTCAGCGGGTGAGATGGCGCCCACGTCGGGGCCCCTTGGTCTAAAGGGCTGTGGCCGGTAACATGGTTTGTAGATGGCCGCTGCCCATTGTGTGGTTTCCGGCCCTCTTCCTCAGCATGCAGGCACCGTCCCTCAGCGTAACACTGAAAGCCCTGCCCAGGCCTCTGAGCGGCAGGTGGGACGCCTGTGGCAGTCGTGATTCCGCGGTGCCCCACGTGTGGTCTGCCCTGCCGTCCGTTACCCCTGGGGCTGCTCTGATGCCCTTGGCCCAGCCATCGGGTGCAAGCGCTGGCCACTCCAGCATGCTTTAAGTCCAGTGTCCCCTCCGAGCTGAGTGACTGTGAGCTAGCTCACAGTTTTTTAGCCTCTGGCTCACACGTTTACAAAATGGCTGCCGCACGGTCCCACCGCGAAGACCCTCGTGCCGAGGAGGTAGCAGCTGCCAAAGTAACATTTTTTAAAAAACCTGCACGGCCGACCAGATCTCCCGTGGCCAATCAGAAGCCTCGGTGGGCAAAAGCCGTGCTTGGGCCCGCCCACGTTCTAAAAACACTTGGCGGGCGCCAGGAGAGGTGTCGGCGGGTGAGATGGCGCCCACGTCGGGGCCCCTTGGTCTAAAGGGCTGTGGCCGGCAACATGGCTTGTAGATGGCTGCTGCCCATTGTGTGGTTTCTGGCCCTCTTCCTCAACCTGCAGGCACCGTCCCTCAGCGTAACACCCAAAGCCTTGCCCAGGCTTCTGAACGGCAGGTGGGACGCCTGTGGCAGTCGTGATTGCGCGGTGCCCCACGTGTGGTCTGCCCTGCCGTCCGTTACCCCTGGGGCTGCTCAGATGCCCTTGGCCCAGCCATCGGGCGCAAGCGCTGGCCACTCCAGCATGCCTTAAGCCCAGTGTTCCCTCCAAGCTGAGCGAGTGTGAGCTAGCTCACAGTTTTTCCTATCCCAAATGCTTTCATTGACTTAAAATTATTTGGCAGAGAATTCGGCACTTTAATGATGGTCTGGGCCTGGCTGGGGCGATGGCACACGTGCCCACAGAGAGGGCTCTGAGTGCCGCCTCTGGCCCCCGTGCCATAGGTTCGCCACCCCTGGCTTAGAGGGAGCCTTGCTTGAGCCAAGTGCCCTTTGAGTTCAGGGGGAGGGAGGGGGATACCCTGAAGCCACACACCTGCAGTCCGATGACGTTCCGTCCTTCTTTCAACTTCTCCGGCTGGAATTTGCGCAGGTGCTTCTCTGCGTATTTCACCCCCATGTTCACCTTGTTGCCTTTGGTCTTGGCCTGTACCCGGCAGGAAGCAGGAGTCATTGGGAGTGAGTTCAAGTTCCCCCGCCCCGGCCCCCCCCCCGGCTCTGTGTGGGAAAGGTAAGCCTCTGCAACCTTCAGTCCAGGCCTTGTGAGAGGGAGGAGGAGGAGGAGGAAGGAGATTGGATTTATGCCCCGCCCTTCACTCGGAGTCTCAGAGCGGCTTACAAACTCCTTCCCCTCCCCACGACAGACACTGTGTGAGGTCGGTGGGGCTGAGAGAACTCTGAGAGGAACTGCTCTTTTCAAGAACAGCTCTGACAGAACTTGTGACTGACCTAAGGTCACCCAGCAGCTGCAAGTGGAGGAGTGGGGAATCAAACCCGGTTCTCCCAGATTAGAGTCTGCACATTTAACCACTACACCAGCCTGGGGCAGGTGCCCGAGTGCCAGGATAGGATCTGGGCAAATCCTCACCCTGCCGTGGAAGCTTGCAGGGTGATGGTGGGCCTACCTCAGAAGATTGTTGTGAGGATAAAATGGAGACATTTGTAAGCCAGGTTGGGTCCCATTTGGGGGGGGGAGTGGGGTATAAGCAAAGTAAATAAAGTGAGCATTCCACACGAGGGCAGTGAGAGGTTTCCCTGCTCAAACCAGTTGTGCTGATGGGTTCAAGCTCGAAGTGTTGCTATGAGGCCAAGAACCCGGGCTTTCTAGCTTTCAAAATACAGTCCTTAACACAAAGGGTGTCCCAGGACCTCTGCTCACCAGTCCCAGATGTGTGGCAGCGACATAGCGAGCTATGTTTAAGAGGGTGCAGAAAAAGTTCTCTGTGTATGATCAGAAGCACGCCAGTGCTTCACAGACAACAGAACTCAGATCTTGTAATGATGAAAACAGATTCTGGGACTGAGCCCTGGCAGAAATGTAAGCCCTAGATATTGGGGATCGAGTGTCAGACTAAGAGGTGGGAGAACCCAAGTTTGAATCCCCACTCTGCCCTGGAAGCTCCCAGAGTGACCTGGCCCAGTCACGCCCTCTCAGCCTCGCCTCCCTCGCAGGGTCGCTGTGAGGGTAAAACGGAGGAGAAGCAGAGTGACGTGAGCCACTTTCCATCCTCACTGGAGGAGAAAGGTAAAGGGTTTCCCTCGCTCGGAAGCCAGTTGAATCCGACTTTAGGGTTGCGGTGCTCATCTCCGTTTCCAAGCCGAAGAGCCAGCGCTGTCCAAAGACATTTCTGTGGTCATGTGGCCAGCATGGCTAGACGCCGAGGCGCACGGAACGCTGTGACCTCCCCACTGAAGCGGTACCTATTTATCTACTTGCCATTTCTTGCTTTCGAACTGCTAGGAGCTGGGGCCAGAGATGGGCGCTCACTCCATCATGCAGCACTCGGGTCTCGAACTGCTGAACTACTGACCTTCCGGTCTGCAGCTCAGCGTCTTAACCACTTGAGCCACCGCTCCCTCTAGAGGAGAAAGGCAGGGTACAGATGGAGGAAATAAATAAGCCCTCAGCACTGCTTGAGCATTTCCCTAGAGCCAAACGTGGACTAGATGTCCCTGGAGGTTCCTTCCAACCCTGTGATTCTGTGATCTCTTACCATGCTGGCGAGAGCGATCAGGGTGGACTGGACCTGGGTGTGGTTCGTGTTCTCAAAGAGGTCGTTTGCTTCGAAGATGTCGTGGGGCTTCACCCCGTATCTGGTGATGGCCTTGAGGAAGTTGCCGATGTTCTCCAGCTGTAAAGCAGGAAAAAGCCGATTAACCTCGGGCAGAGGCTTGGCGGCCGACAGGCTGAGCCGCCAAACCACTGAGCGCCTGGCGCAAAACTGAGCATCTCTTGGTGGACGGTTCCTTAACCAGTTCCTCCTCCCACCTCCCTATGCGCTCCCTGCTTCCCTGAGGCATGCCTCCGCTCTGCACGATTAAGGACTTCCTTCTCTTGACAGTGCGCTGCTTTCGCAAAGCGTCTCGGCTTTTATAACAAAGCAGTCTCACCACAGCATCACATAAACACGCGAAGCGGCCTTGTGCTGAACC